CCTGATTGTGTGCTTCCGGTTCCAAATGAGGTGTGTGGTTGACTGGTTGGTTCGTAACTCTGGTGTTGGAAACAGGGCCGGCTCCAGGCACCCGCTTAACAAGCAGGTGCTTGGGGCGGCTAAGGGAGAGAGGCGGCACGTGCGGCAATTCCGGGGTGGCAGGTTCCTCACTACCTCTACGCCGCCAATCACACCTCCCCCCCCCCCCCCAATTGCTGCCGCCGGTCTCGATTTCAATCACGGTCTTTTTTTTTTTTTTTGCTTGGGGCGGCAGAAATGCTGGAGCCGGCCCTGGTTGGAAACTCTAAGCTTTTATTGTAAGGGCTGGTCTACACTGGGGGGCGGTCGATGTAAGATACTCAACTTCAGCTATGGGAATAGCGTAGAATAAGTCGGGAATAGGTCGACGCATCTTATTTCGACTTACCTCCCAACCTCACAGTGCGGGATTGATGGCCGCAGCTCCCCCCGTCGACTCCGCTACCACCGCTAGACGAGACACGATATATCGATCCCTGATAGATCGATTACTACCCCCAATTCGGGTAGTTAATAATAATTAACATAATTCCTCTGCTCAAATCAGAGCAGAGGAAAAGCAATGGAAACAATTGCAAGCACATAGGTTTGTTTTGTGTGAAGTATGGAAATTCCATTTCACTAAGGATTTTGAGATTTTTAAAATTTGGCTTCATTTCAAATTGGAACAAAATACTCAAAAATTTTGAAGTTCTCCACAAAGGAAATTTAAAAAAAAATTGTTCCATAGCAGTTGAAATATTTCATTTTGACTTTTTAAATGTTATAATATAATATATAAAATAATACAAAATAAAAAATTCAAAACAAAAAGTTGGTTAAAAATGAAAAATCTGAATGTTTTGTTCCAAAAATATTCCAACTAGTTTAGAAATCCAAAGGAAGATGTAAATATTCATAAAGAAATATTTTGTAATAAAAAGATGTAAATAATGGATTGGTACATACTAAATAGAGCTGGTCAGAAAAACTCAATTGAAAATGCAGTTCTGTCAAAATGGAAACGCTTCACAAAACCATATTGATTTTGCAGAAATTTCATTTAAGAGAAAAAACTGTGGAGGAAAGGTCCGACAATGTCCCATTTCAACATAGTTGGAATGAAGCATTTTGATTTTTCATTTTGAAATTATTTTCAATTTTTTTATTTTGTATTATATTTAAAATTTTAAAAGTCCAAATCCAAACAAAACCATTTTGCCAAAATTAAACATTCTGATCTGAACAACTTTTTAAAAAAATTTCTTTCATCGAGAATTACGAATTTTTCAGGTTTTGTTCCTATTCAAAATGAAGCTAAAATTCAAAATCCTTTGTGAAATGGAATTTCCATTGTCTGCACAGTTCTAATACTATGAATATATTTTGTAATAAAAACAGAATTTAATCACTCCCTTTAAACACACACACACACACACAAAACATTCAGGGTATCCCACCCTAAAGAGACATTTAGATTGTGCCAAATTCATCAATAGCCATTGCCTTTAATAAAGTAATTTGCAGGGTCCTGTAGCCTCATTCTGACCCTTGTCATAAATGCTGGTATTCACAATCATGATGATTAATGGTCCCAAAATACTTATCCTGGAATTGGCTAATGTGTGTGATAAGACACAGGGTGTCTGAGCTACTGGAAGATGCCATGTTGCTGCTTCCACAGATCTCATTATGCCTGTTTTTGTGCCCTTATCGTATACACTGCATAATTAAGTCTCAAACAACAAATTCTAAGATCACTTTTTAAGTTGTTACTCTTTATTAAGGGATCTGTATGTAAAATCTTGTTCTTTCCTCCCTCCATATTCCCTACTCTTACATTGCTTTGTGTGCTCTTCCCTCAAACTGTGTGACATAGGTAAATCAAAAACCTCACACTACACTTTACCTATTCTGCCTCTTTATACAGTACCATTAGTTTCAAGACAGAAAACAAGCTATTTTCCTCTTTTACAGGCCCATCTTTACAGGCATTAAAGAGGCAAAACAACCATTGAAGTCTGTATGAGTTTTACCTGAGTAAGGACTGCATGGTGGAATCATGAAGTACTTCAGGAAGAAACACACTACAGAAGTGCTAAGATAATTTTTTCTTCACTATTCCAACAGAGAGCAGCCCATCTACATTACTCAGCAGAAGACCACCAAACCCTCAACATTTCCTTCACCATACTCCTGCCCCTCCTCAAAGCTGTGAAGGCTGCCTTCTTTCTAGATAAAGAACTGGTCTTCAGAATTATGGAAGGCTTTGAAGTGACAGTTAAGACTGTAACTGTCATTGTCAGAGCTGAAAGCTATTCGGGTTGTCTGTGGGCCCTACGTCACTAGAGAGAAGGCTTTCCAGGTCAGGATTCTACCTCCTGGAAGTTGTAGACTGTCAGGATAGCCATAGTCCTATCATTCAGGAGTTACAGACCTAAGTAGTATACTGCTCGACAGTTGATGTACAGCATTAAATAATATGAAACAGTAGACGAGAGACCTGAGATATTGTTGAAATCAGAGGGGTTATGATTAAGTCCTAATGCAGAGGGCCTTGGGGTGGAAAATGCGCATACACCACGGGGGCAACCTACCGCCCTTTTGACAAACCCCACACCCCTTGAACTCCATAAAAACACGCTTTACACAGTTATTTTCAACTGACATTTTATTTTACAACACGGCCTGTTCCTCAGTAGGTTGCCCCCATAGTATACGCGGTTAGATTACCCTTTGTCTTTTAAAGTGTTTATCCCTTTACAAGACTTAATATAACTTTTACTTGCATTTGTTAAAAAGTTTGGGGAAGAGGCCACCTTCTTATCCCTGATCCACTAACTCACAAAGACTGATTTTGCTAACAATGGCTTTGCTGAAAAAGCATGCTGTTTCAAATTGTGCTTATTAAAAAATAACCCATGTTAGTTTAAAACATAGGGGGGAAACTTTTTTATCGCTATACATTACTTTTATAACCCTGGACTGTTTCTGCAAACTCACATTTTATTGAAACACCTATGCCAAGGAGGTTAAATAAAGGAATGGGTCTTCAGATAGCCTTGTTTTTCAAAGAGGTCGTCTTCTTTTCTAATTCACTACCTTCAAAAGGCTGTTTCAAGTTGTTCTCACTAAAAACCTTGGGGGGAAAACATTTTCTTAGTCAGGGTTTAACCCTGGGGTGCTTTTGCATGCTTTTTTTTTTATTACAACACATACAAAAGGGCTGTGTCTTCATTTAGGCATGTCTTTTCAAGTGTTTATTCCTTTACAACCCTTAATATAACTTTCACCTCTATTTGTTAAAAAGTGGAAAAAGAAACAAACTTCTCTCTAATCCACTGGTTTACAAAATA